GCCACATGGGAGACCTGGAAGAAGCTCCTGGCTCCTGGCTCCTGGCTTCGGATCGGCACAGTTCCATCCATTGCAGCCAATTGGGGAATGAACCAGCGGATGGAAGATCTCTCTCTCTCTCTCTCTTTTACTCTCTCTCTCTCACTCTCTCTCTCTAAGTCTGTCAAATAAATAACTAAATCTAAAAAAGAGATGTTTGTGAATTGAATCCACTGCGCCTCCTCTACCCCCTCTCATACCTGTAATCCCTCTGCTCTCCCCCAGATAAACCATCTCCCCCTGGTTCTTGAATATCGCTCATGATTTCTTATCTCTGTGTTATCCATTCCTTCCCTCCTGCTTTGGGCCTGCTCCCCTTAGGCCCGGCCACAGGAGGCGGCGTGGTAGGGTACTGGGCTGCCCAGTGTGGGTGTCCTGCAGCCTCTGTTCATCTCCTGACCCCACACCTTCGCAGACATGGACCTTGGGTAACTCTCATTCCCAGCCCCTGTGCTCAGCCACTCTTATTCCAGTCAGACAAAAATCCACTCTACACAGATGCACTCATTGAATCGGGCCTTTGGCTGTGTAGCCCCTGGATGTTTCCATGTGAACCAGAAGGTGAAGCAACAAGGCAATGTTTCCTTCTCTCGGCTGTCCTGATTCATTTTCTATTTTCTGTTTCAGATCCATCGGGAACCTCATGAGGGGTTGACAGCTTCCTGCGTACTTTTTTTTAAAGATTTATTTATTTATTTGAAAGTCAGAGTTACACAGAGAGAGAAGGAGAGGCAGAGAGAGAGAGAAAGAGAGAGAGGTCTTCTATCTGCTGGTTCACTCCCCAGATGGCTGCAACAGCCGGAGCTGCACCTATTCAAAGCCAGGAACTAGGAGCTTCTTCCAGGTGTCCCACGTGGATGCAGGGTCCCAAGGACTTGGGCCATCTTCTGCTGCTTTCCCGGGCCATAACAGAGAGCTGGATGGGAAGTGGAGCAGCCGGGACTAGAACCAGCACCCAAATCAGAGCCCATATGGGATGCGGGCACTGCAGGCGGCGGCTTTACCCACTACGCCCCTTGTGTCCTTTCAAGGCTGATTCCTCCACTGCGTTCTCACTCCACACAGAGCTAATCTGCTTTGTCTCTCCCCGGTCACCTGAGGACTGTGAGCCAGCTGACTGATTAGCCGGGGCCAGACACAGGTGCCTGCGGTAGGGGAAGGAGAACACGCGGGGCTCGGTGCTGCCAGGCAGGGCGGGCAGACTTGGCCACGCAGCGACAGAGGGCAGAGAGCAAGGGCCTTGGCCAGCAGTGGGGGGTGGGGAACGTTGGTTTTCTTGCCACTCAAATGGGCAGAGGGAAGATGGGGAGCGCTGAGAGGGTGGTCCCGCCGCCTCAGCCCCCTCCTCGGCTCCTCCAGATCTTTTCCTGCAGAACAAGGAATGACTCTTCAGGTCGCTCCATCTCCGAGGCAAGGAAACCAATTGGCGCCAAGTCTGCTTCTCTGTGTGCCCGGTGCTGGGGGTGTGTGGCTAGGGGGCCCGAGTGCCCTCCGAGCCCTCTCATCCACTCCTGCCTTTCACTCTGTCTCCTTCCTCTCCCCCCTCTCTTGTCCCTCCCCCCGCCCCCACCTGCACCTTGCAACTCCCATCCCAGGGTTTAACAAATAGAGCTCCCCCAGCACCTTGGACAATTTTGCTGTCTCTGAGCTCAGTGATTCTCTTTCTCTCTCTCTCTCTCTCTCTCTCTCTCTCTCACACACACACACACACACACACACCGCCTCCCACTGCACAGTAGAAGCCCCTGAAGCTCCAGGCCAGTCTGACCTGCAGAACCCCATTCTGCCAGTGAGGGCCCAGCCCTGGTTTTGCTGCTGATTCCTGTGTGCAGCCATGCTTGACGACCCCACCTCTCCCCTGCCACCAACCATACCTATGCCCTTCAAGGTGCGGCTGAAATACTGCCACCTCCTGGAAGCCTGCCCTGCCAGGCTGGGTGATCTACGCACCGCCCTCTCTTCCCACGGACACCCAGCAGGTCATTCTACTCAGGTCCTCTCTGTTCCTTGTTCCAGACTGCCTGGAGGAGGAGAGAGGGAGGGGGAGAGGGAGAGAGGGAGAGAGGGAGGGGAAGGGGAGAGAGGGCAGGGGAGAGGGAGGGGGAGGAGAAGGGGGTGGGAGGAGAAGGGAGGTGGGGGGAGGGGAAGCAGAAGGGGGTGGGAGGGGGAGGGGAGAAGGAGGGGAGAGGAGAGGGATAGGGAGAAGAAGAAAAAGCAAACCCAGCATATCAGCCATGGGTTCACACATATTTTCAAAAGCCTCATTAAATGTTAAAAGAGAATTTGAGCTAACATAAATGAGCCAGAAATTTGATAGAATCAGTGTGCCTCATTTTCTGAACTTTCTGGTCCGTAAGTGTTTAGCACATACTTATTATCTTGACTTTGAAAGCTCTTTTCTTTTAGACATTCTTGTACACTGTACCCTTCCTTCTCCCCACCCTAGCACAGAAAAAGCAGTCTAAGGAACCAGAAGATTGGATCTCAAACTGTCAGCTTCTTAAAAAGAGTCACCACTTGATACACGTGATGCATATTTTAATTTATTTATCTATTTGAAAGGCAGCGCAACAGAGAGAGGAAGAGAGAGCAAGCTTCCATCTGCTGGTTCACTCCCCAAATGCCCACAATAGCCAGGGCTGGACCAGACTAAAGCCAGGAAGCAGGAACACTCTCAGGTCTCCCTTTGGCTGCTTTCCCAGGTGCATTAGCAGGGAGCTAGCTAGGAAGCAGAGTAGTGGGTGCTCGAACCAGGCGCTCTGATATGGGACGTGGGCATCCCAAGTGGCGGGGTAACCCGCTGTGCCACAGTGCCCACTCCAAATGTCAGTTTTATTACCAACTGAGTGTATATAGAACAACAGGCTTGCTAGTGTAGCATGGGAGGGTCATGGAAGAACAACGAAGAAGAAGGATGCAGTCCCAGAGGCAGAGGTGCCCACAGTCAGGTCCCAAGGAGAACACAGAAGGAGCTGCGCTTCACCATTTGTCCCAGGGAGGAGTATACGGGCGGTGGGCAGGTGAGGGGGAGAAAAGCAGTGTGACTCCTTACGGTGGCTACGTGAGAACAGGGCGTAAGTGTTCTCCACCTGCTAGTTACTCCTAAATGTCAGCTAATAAAGCTAGGCTATAATTAAGCAAACTGCGTAATTATATGCAGAGAAATCTGCAAGCACAATTAGCCACAGCTGCCAAAAGACGCATCCTCCCAGAGCCCCCCTGCAAGCGGCAGCCTCCAGGTTGGTGTGTCCCAAGCAGCAGCAAGTGCACGCTGACCACCTGTGTCTGTGGTCTTTAGCGCTTCGAGCTTGCTCCCTGTCGTCGGCGCCCGCGGTAGCACCATCCTTCCTCACCTCCTTTCAGCTCTATTTTCTTGAGGGAAAGAAAATGGGATTTCCAGATCCCGTTCCAGAATTCAGCCGTAGCCATGCGGCTCTGCCTAGGCAGCAGCTCCCGTGCAGGACACGCAACAGCTGCACGGAGAGTGTGGCCGTGGGAACAGCTGGCAAGCTCCAGGGCTGCCGCACTGAGGGCTACTTCCAGCTCTCTGCTGTTTTACTCTGGGATAATATAAACACGACACATGCTCAAGAGTGACCCTAAAACATGGCTTGCTTACCGACACATCTACAAAGCCAAGTAAAAGCAGACCCCGAAAGAACACGTAGGAAACTTGTAAGAAGCATCCAGCTCAATTGGAACTGCAAAGTGGGGGAAGTTTTTTGTTTGTTTGTTTTTTGTTTTTGACAGGCAGAGTGGACAGTGAGAGAGAGAGAGACAGAGAGAAAGGTCTTCCTTTTGCCATTGGTTCACCCTCCAATGGCCACCGCCTGCGGCTGGCGCACCACGCTGATCCGAAGGCAGGAGCTAGGTGCTTTTCCTGGTCTCCCATGCGGGTGCAGGGCCCTAGCACTTGGGCCATCCTCCACTGCACTCCCTGGCCACAGCAGAGAGCTGGCCTGGAAGAGGGGCAACCAGGACAGAATCCGGCGCCCCGACCGGGACTAGAACCCGGTGTGCTGGCGCCGCAAGGCGGAGGATTAGCCTAGTGAGCTGCGGCGCCGGTGATGAAGCTTTTGTTTTTGTTTTTGTTTTTATTCAGTGGTACTTGTTTGCCCCTAAAGAGCTAGAGTCTAGAAAAAATTTAAAGCTTCATTTCTAAAATAACAGCTTCAATTATTTTTTTAAAATATATTTTATGTACTCGAAAGGCAGAGTGACAGCAAGAAAGAAGGGTAGAGAGAGATCTTCCATCTGCTGGTTCACTTCTCAATGGCTGCAACAGCCAGGGTTGGGCCAGGCTGAAGCCAGGAACTAGGAACTCCATCTGGGTCTCCCATGTCGGTGCAGGGGCCCAAATACTTGGGCCATCATCTGCTGCTTTCCCAGGTGCATTAGCAGGGAGCAGGATCAGAAGCAGAGCAACTGGGGCTCAAACTGGTGCTCAGACATGGGATGTTAGCATCCCAAACACCACCTGCTTAACCCACTATACCACAAAGCCAGCCCTGGCCGCAATTCTTAAAACCAGGTTAGCCACATGAGTTTATTTTTTTGGCAATAAACAATCCTTCTGAGATTTTCAGTGGTGAATTTATTCATTGGTTTATAAAGTGAATTTAGGACTGCTTTGTCAACACTGACCTGCACACAAGGCCCCTGACAACTTTTTCTTTGCTTTTCTCCCAACAACTCCTGCTCCCCCGCCCCCCGGGGTTGGTGGGACCATTGTATATGATGTGTCCAGACTGCTAAGCAACAAAGTAGTGAAAATGCCCTGAAGTCAACCTCAGTCCTTCCGTAGTTCCTTTTCTCGGCTTAGGGGAGATGAGGTTAACCAAGAACAAGACAGCCTCCAGCAACAAATCAGCGCCACGGCTGCGCAATTGTGACATAGGGAGAGTAACCGCCAATCAGAGAGGAGGTCCGGCAGCCTGACTGTGACCTGTCCCTATAAATACGAGTGCCCCCACATTCCTTCCTCCTCTCCCTTCGTACCTGCCAAGGGGAACACCACCTGCCATGGCCAGATCCAACATCAGAAAGTACAAGTACTCCAGAGGATGTCTAATCCCCATCTCCAGAAAGAAATCACATTGCAGCTGCGATTCTGGCCATAGAAACTATTCTCTCTATGTGAAGAGGGTCCTGAAGGAGGTTGTTCCCCATAGGCACATGTCATCTTGCACCTTGGAGGTCATGAACACCTTGATCAACCACATGTTCGAGCGCATTGCCGTGGAAGCCTGCAACATGATGTATTTCAGAAACCGCTGCACCCTCACCCCGGAAGACATCCAGAAGGCAGTGTATTTGCTGTTGCCTGGGAAACTAGGCAAGCACGCGGTGACTTTTGGGAGCGAAGCGGTCCACAGATTCTTCCACTACTAACCTCCATGTATCAGCAGAAAAGTAAATGAGGCTTACTACCCAAATGATCACCTCCATGTCAAATTCCCTTTTCTTTTTCACAGCATAGCAGTGTTTCCTGGTATTTTCGTATCTTTCTGATTTCTAGATTTCTTCTTTCTAAGATTATTTTCTTGCTATTTTGCCTTTTGAGGACCTGGGTTTTCCTGACACCTACTCCCCTGCCTTGACTCCTGTCAGAAACTGTTTTTCCTATGGATGTGCAAAGCTTGTTACATAAATTCAATACATATTACATCGTAAAGGTGTTGTTAACTGCGTGCAGGACCGTACGATCTAGCTACTCAGTCACGCTGGCTTCCAGTTGATGAACACACATATCTTCATTCAGAAGTTGACCAACACAGATAAATTCTCATCAAGAAGCATTTTCTAGAGTAAATGGCATTCAACTGATTTGGTTATTAATGAATTTGTATTCAGCATGTTAGTTATTTCTGGTTTGCTTTAATTCTTACATTCTGAATGTCAACCAGCTCAATTCACATCCCTGTAAATTTTATCTTTGTGTTTTGGGTCACTGAGATTAATTGCCTTACTTTTTTAAAAAACATGTATTTATTTATGTGAAAGGCAGAGTTACAGAGAGACAGGGCACGGAGAGAGAAAGAGAGAGTTCTTCCATCTGCTGGTTCACTCCCCAGATGGCCGCAATGGCTGTAGCTAGGCCGATCTGAAGCCAGGAGCCAGGAGCTTCTTCCAGGTCTCCCACGTAGGTGCAAGAGCCCAAGGACTTTGGGCCATCTTCTGCTGCTTTCCCAGGACATTAGCAGAGAACTGGATTGGAAGTGGAGCAGCCGGGGCTTGAACTGACGCCCATATGGGACACCGGTGCTGCAGGTGGAGGCTTAACCTACTACGTCACTACGCCACCAGCCCCAGTTGTCCTAGATTTTTAATGTGAGAACAACACTCAGGGGCCCACCACCCACTCTACGAACTTCAAGAACTTCCCAAAAGTCACTGAAGATCTTTCCCAGTCCCATCTCCCTATTATCCTAAGTTTTATTTCTTCCCAATTCCTCGGTTTTCCATATGCTACCAATGTATGTGTCTCAAAAATAAGGCTTAATTTTGCTTATGTTATAAGGAAGGGTCACTACCTATGTTCTTCTGGGCCCGGCATGATTCTCTTAACATTGTTTCTAAGATTTGCATCTGTTCATGTATATGCAGCTCTGGTGTGTTGTTGTTATTGTCTGCTCTAGAGGGTTCCTGGGAATGAAGAGACCACAGGGTGTTTATCCATCCCATCAATGGAAGGGTGGGTTGTTGTCAGTTCTCAACCACTATGAATAATGCTGCTATAAGGAGCGCTGTAACCAAAGCTGTAACATGTAGCACTTGGTATGTCCTCAGTACTCTACATCTGTTAACCCACTTTTTAAAAAGATTTATTTATTTATTTATTTGAAAGTTAGAGATACAAAGAGATACACTCCCCAGATGGCTGCCACAGCCTGGGCTGGGCCAAGCTAAAGCCAGGAGCCAGGAGCTTCTTCTGGGTCTCCCATGCGGGTGCAGTGGCCCAAGGACTTGGGCCATCTTCTACTGCTTTCCCAGGCCGCAGCAGAGAGCTGGATAGGAAGTGGAGCAGCCAGGACACAAACTGGTGCCCATATGGGATGCTGGCTCTGCAGACAGTGGCTTTACCCAGTACACCACAATGTCAGCCCCTATTAACCCATTTAATCCCCATAACAAGGAAAACAGGGCACAGAGAACTAAGTGATTTGTCTGGGGTCACACAGCTATATAAGTGGCAAAGCTGCAATTTGCTGAGTTCCCCACAGTTGGCAATGGATCCTGTGCTACATGCTGCAGAAATTCTTAGACACATGAGGGTACTTCAAAGAGTATGCTTGTTTATTTATTTGTTTATGTGAAAGGCAGAGTGACAAGAAAGAGAAAGGGAAAGAAAGCTCTTCCATCTGCTGGTTCACTCCCCAGACGGCTTCAATACCTGGGGCTGGGCCAGGTCAAAGCCAGGAGCCAGCAACTCCATCCAGGTCTCCCACATGGTTGGCAGGGGTCCAAGTATTTGAGCTATCATTCGCTGCCTTCTCAGGCACATTAGCAGGGAGCTGGATCAGAAGCAGAGCAGCCAGGACTTGAACTAGCGCTCTGATACAGCATACCAGCATCCCAAGTGGAGGCTTAAAATGCTGTGCCACACCACCAACCCCACCACGCATTGCTTTTTCATAATACACATTTTCCATCAAGGTTGTGAAAACATCTCTCATTTCCCAGTACACATAAGGATGTTGCCAGGAAAAATACCTAAGAGTGCAACTGCAGGTCAGTAATAGCTCACATTCAATTTTACTAGATAATGCTGGATTATCTTTCAAGTGTGTCAATTTCTGTTTGTAATAGGTGAGAGTAGTTTAGGTTTCTCTGGTTACAGGGAATACAGACATTTGCGCAAGCAGGAAGTGATTTGGGGTATGTACGAACTGCAATGGGAACAGAGGCTAAGTCTGTTTCTTCTGGGGTCTGGAGGCTTCCTTGTCAGTTTCAGGAAGTAGATCCAACACAATCTGCTCCTCCTACTGGAGTCAGGGCCAGGCAGAGGTTGCTGTCACCACCCTAAAGATTGGCTGATCTTAACCAGGTGCCCGCTTCTGCCCATGGGCTTCAGCTTGGTGGCAGAAGGGCCTCTGGTCTACCAGGGTCAGCAAGTTACAACCTGTAGGTCAAATTTGCAGAAAAGCAAATTACAGCTGTTTTTGTGTGTGACCCCACAAGCTAAGAATCTTTTCATACTTTTATAGTTTTTTTAATAATAATATTCAGTAGTCCTCCAGCAGCCCACAGAGCCTACAATGTTCACTACGAGGTTGTTTACAGAGAAAGATCGCAGATCCCCATGCTTGAAGGGCAGGGTCTGTGAAAGGCAGGTTTTCTGGGGCTTTGGCCAATTCAGTTCAGTTCAAAAACATGGAAAGTTCATAGCTGGTTTTTCAAATCATTGAAATAAGGCTGGGAAATACAAATGGTCCTCAACAGCGGTGGCGATGCTCTGTTAGGGACTCGGTGCTGAGACTGCAGGAAGAGAGCGAGGCAGGGCTCCATGTGCTGTTCTGGGTGCTTTGGTGCACATTTTAAAACTTTTTTAAAAACGTAATTGGTTTTATGTATCTCAAAGTTAAAGAGAGAGAGGAGAGAGAAAAAAAATTCACTCTCCAAAAACTGCAACAGTCAGAGCCAGGAGCCAGGAATTCATCCAGGTTTCCCACTGGGTGATGGAGCCCCAAATACTTTGAGCCATCACCTGCTGCCTCCCAACAAGAAGCTGAATTGGAAGCGGAGCCAGGACTCAAACCCAGGCTCTCTGATATGGGACGCAGTGGTCCAAGTGGCATCTCAACCACTGTGCCAGCTGCCCACCTGGTACACACATCTTGAAGCCTCCTGAAAAACAAAATTTCAAAATAAGACCAAGATTTGGGGAAAACATCTCTGAAATTGACTTCAAATCAGATTGTATAAATGCGTGTATGTGAAAGTAACTATGTAAAATATGTAACCATGTGTTACAGGTGTAAAATTTGCTATTTTAACCATTTGTAAGTGGACAGACAGTTCAGGAAGGTTAAAAGCATCCACGATGTTGTATAACCATCACCAGCATCCAGATAGAAGCTTTTCATCTTCCCAAATGGAAACCACACCCATTAAACATGAACTTTCCAGGCTCCCCTTGCACCAGCCCCTGGAAATCACTATTCTACTTTTTACCTTTCTGAATTTAACAACCTCATATAAATGGAATCACACAGTACTTTTTAAAGAAGATTATTTATTTATTTATTTGACAGAGTTACAGACAGTGAGAGGGAGAGATAGAGAGAGGTCTTCCTTCCGTTGGTTCACCCCCCCAAATGGCCACAACAGCCAGAGCTACGCCGATCTGAAGCCAGGAGCCAGGAGCTTCTTCCTGATCTCCCACGTGGGTGCAGGGGCCCAAGGGCTTGGGCCATCTTCTACTGCTATCCCAGGCCATAGCAGAGAGCTGGATTGGAAGAGGAACAGCCGGGACTAGAACCAGCGTCCATATGGGATGCCGGCGCTGCAAGCAGAGGATTAACCTACTGCACCATGGCACCAGCCCCCAGTACTTTTTTTTGAGAGAGAGGGAGGGAAATGTCCTCTGTAGTCCTTTGACCATTTTTAAAAATCCACTTGTTTGGTCTTTTATTATTGAGTTGTAGCTTTTCACACATTGTTGCTCTTCATCCTTCCCAGTTACATGATGTACAAATGTTGATCTCCCATTCCTGGGTTTGCCTTCTCATTTGTGCAGAGTGTTCTTCAGCACCCCAAAATTAGTCATGTTGATGACATCCTATTTCTCTATTTTGTTCTCAGTTTTCTGTGCCTTCAGAGTCATATTTGAATACTTTTTAGTGCTCCTTTGTGTAAAATTATGTGCAACAACCTTAATAATATGAAGGAAAGGGAAAGGTCAAAATTATCCCAACACATCTTTTTTACATCAATAAGGCCATTTTGCCAACTTTCTTTTTAAAAAAAATATTGTCCATTTCATCTATCTGAAAGGTAGAAAGACAAAGACAGAGATCTCTCCTCTGCTAGTTGACACTCCAACTGCTCACAACCGCCAGGCCAAAGCCAGGAGCCAGGAACTCCACCTGGGTCTCCCACATGGGTGTGCGGCCCATGCACATGGGCCATCTTCTGTTGCCTCCCGGGATGCACATTTTTTTTAAGATTTATTCATTTTATTTGAAAGTCAGAGTTACACAGAGAGAGAAGGAGAGGCAGAGAGAGAGAGAGAGAGAGAGAGAGAGATAGGTCTTCCATCTGCTGGTTCACTCCCCAAATGGCTGCAACAGCCAGAACTGCGCTGATCCAAAGCCAGGAGCCTGGACCCTCTCCCGGTCTCCCACGCTGGTGCAGGGACCCAAGCATTTGGGCCATCTTCTACTGCTTTCCCAGGACATAGCAGAGAGCTGGATCAGAAGTGGAGCAGCCGAGACTCAAA